AAAACAAAAAAACGAAAGCAAAAAATAAATTATGGTGCTACGTGGACACTTTTCTTTTTTTTTTTACAAATTTATCTAAATTAAAAACAAAAAATAAAAAAATAGTTGAAAAAATTTATATATATATATATATATATAAGTGTCACATTGACAACTTAAATAAAGGAAAAACAAAAATCAAAATTAGTAAAATTTATATATTTGATAGATAGCTGGATTAAATCTTAATTATATATAAATATAATATTTTTATTAAATTAAAATATTAAATAATAATTTTATTAATATAATAATATATAATTATAAGATAAAATAATTAATTAAAAATATAATTTTTATATATTTGGGATAAGACAAAAGTTTTAAATCTTCCTACGATTAGACCTAGTAATTTGAAATATGATATGATGATATGATATAAAAATAACATGAAAAAATTTGTATATATATTTTAAAAAACGTATTCCATATTTATTCATGTTGACACGAATTTCGACACAATATAATTTATGTTGTATATGTGTTGACTTGTTTAAATATGTGATATGATACGAATAATACGTTTAATTTAATATTATCATACGAGTACACATTTAATATATTTAATACATTTAACACATTTTTTATATTTATTTTAATTTAATATAAATATATAAAAATTATTTTAATTTTTAATCTTTCAATTATGATACTTAATTAACTATTAAATATCATATAAAAATTATTTTAAACATTTAAATATGATACTAATTTAATAATTATTATAAAATTATTTTCTATATAATAATATAAATACAATATAAATATAATATCAGTCTTATACATTATTATTTTATTCTTTAATCTTTAATAGTTTATCATTTTGAATTTGATACTAAAAATTAATATAGTTATGTAATATAAATTAAATTTTAAATATTTATTAAATACACATTAAATGAGTATTAAAGTTTTTTTAATATATAAGTACTTTTTTATATTATTAATATGTCAAATTTATTAAGTTATAAATGATATATAATTTATAATTATTTATTATTTTAGACATGTTTTTGTATATATCTTTATTAATCATGTCTATTCGTATATCTTAATATTAGTTGTATATATTTTTTTATATTCGTATTATTTATATTTATTTATATCGTATTTAAGTAAATTAATTATATAGGTGTTAATCGTGTCGTCTCGTATATAACATATTTATTAAACATGTTGTATTCATGTTTAAAATTTAAACACATTTTATAATTCATGTCGTATTCATATTTTAATAATTTGTGTCATTATATATGTCGACATAAGATACAACACAAAACACAAATTGTCATACCTACATGCAACTCAACTTCAATTAAAAAAAAAAAAAGAAAAACCTCATTTGATCCTTAATTGTTTTATTTCATGGATTTTAAAAAAATAAAAACTAAAAAAAATTCAAAAAATTAAATCGATGTCAAGACCTTTGCTAATATTTTTCTTCAAAATTATGAAAATAAAAAATAAAAAATATTTTTAATAATAATATCAAATGGATTCATATTAAAATAATTTTAAATTATTTAAAAATGTTTATTAATATAAAAAATTAAAAATTAAAAAAATGAATCAAATAGCTTGACACCCGATAAACCCTTGATATAAAGTGGATTTGAAAAAAAAAATTAAAATCTAAAAAATTATGTATTAAAAATGTAAGAAGTAGAAAAGTTAAAAAAAAAACACGTGTCATATTCTTAGAAGCAAGTGAATTCCATAAAAATCTTTAAAATCTAAAAAATTATTTATTTAAATTTTAAAATAAAAGTGAAAAAGTGAAAAGGGATAAAAAAAAAGAAAATTTTGATATAAATGGTTCCAACCACTAAAAAATAATTTTTTTTCTAAAAAATAAAACCTTTAAGAAACATATTTTTTATAATTTAAAAATATACTTGTGAAACATAACCAAAAAAAAAAAAAGCGTAAAAAAACTAAAAAAGCAAGCAAATGACACATGAATATCCTTAGCAGCTGTACATGCCTAAGATGTAAAATTTTAAAAAAATAAAAAATAAAAGAAAAAATTGAAATATCCTTGAACACATACAGTAAAATTTTAAAAATTTAAAATAAAGATAAAAATAATAAAAGAGGAAAATAAATAAAAGTGGGGTACATTTTTTTTTTCATCTCCTCATCTCCATACCTTTATATTTTTTTCATCAAAGTTTCATCGTATCCCATTATTTATTATTTATTATTTTATTTTTTGAGTGATTAGAAAAAACACAAAAGCAAAGAAGGAATATTGCCACGTGGGTGCTGTATGAGAGGTTAAATTTTGTACTGAAATGGGAAAAAGTTATTGTACGATATTTATAGCTGTGACTCCTCCTCTCACTCCTATCGTTTTCTCTTTAAGATTTCTTACCTAAAACTGTAAGGAAAAATTTAATTAGCAACATGCAACGATAGAGGAATGTAACCGATTTCAATTGCTTAAAAAAAATCTGTTTCTCATTAGTATTACTCTTTTCCTTCATTTTTTTTTATTTTTATGTCTCAAATTATTTTTTGAACATCTAAAGTTTTTATTTTTATATTTAAAACTATTTTTTATAATTTTATATTAAAAATTATGAAATTAAATTTATAAAAAATTAAAATCCTATTTTAAAATAATTAAAATCACTTTTTTTTAATGTGGAAACAAAAGGCGGAAAAACAATTTTAAAATGGAAGGAGTATAGACCAACACTACTAAACAATAAAATATAGTAAAGTATTTATGTTAGTTATAAGCAAATATTTTCAACAAAAACTTTTGATAAGTCATTTGCTTCAACGGTAAATGAAATTTTATTCAAGTCTTATCATGCATTATCTTTTGTTGAAGTTAATATGAAATGTTCATGTATAACACAATATTTATTTTATTACTTGAAAAAGATTGAGTAACCCACTCAAAAAATAATATATTATTTTTTATTTGGCATAAAGCGAATTGAATTTTTTTTATATAAAAATTATATATCAATTATTGAATCAAAATATTAAAATACTTAAATTTAAAATTTAACTCATTAGTTTATATAATCGCCTTTAAAAATAAAATTTAATATGTTTAAAATTTAAAATTTTAACATTTATAATTTATTTTTTATTTTCATACTACAAATTTCACTATAAAAAAATTGGATTCCTAACAATTAAATCTGCTTTCTGAGTTTCAAGCTAGACAAAACTAAAATTTATATATTTGATGTTTAGATGGGGATTTTATTTTTCCGTTGGTATTGCCCAAAGCATAATTAGTTTAAATTTTCAATGGGATATAAACTTAAATTAATAGATTTGATGATATAAAATTAGATATAAATATGATATAAATATAAAAAAATAAAAATAATACGATTTAAAATTTTAATAATAATTATATTTAAATTTAATAAAATAAAAAATATTTTATATTTCATATTTATATAAATAATAATACATTTTTATATAAATTATAATATAAATATATTTTTTAATATTTATATAATATAAATACACAAATCATTATCGGGACTCCACACACAAAGCAATTTCCATTGTCGGGGAGCCTTATTACAGTACTAATAATAAATCCAACAACCATATTTAATGCATTTTCGTACTATTTTTTGTTGAACAGCGACGAAACATTGTTTTACTCCGCATCCCAATCAATTACCGGTCGGAGTGCCATGTGAGAAAATATACTCTTTTATTTTAATTTCTTTTGTTCATTTTTTAAAAAACATCTTATTTTTTAGTTTAAACTTCTAGTATTATTTTTTTTAGATTAGTATTCTTATTTTTATAATTTTTTCGCGTTTAAATAAATACTGAATATCATAATTATAAAAGAAAATCGAATGAAAATTTTTTAACACAAAAAATGAGATTACATAACACACGCATAAATAAAGAGAGTATAATCTAAGTCGATTAGGTCACGGAGGGAGTGAGTTTTGATAACGATTAAAAAAAGAAAATTTACCCGTGAAAAAAAATTAATGATAATATTTATGAAAAGTTATTTGATATATTAATAGTAAAATTTTTTAATTTTAGAAATGGAGTTAAAATGATAATATATGTTTGAACTTGTTTAAAATTAATTTTTTTAAAATTTTTTTGAATATATATTAAGAGATATATTATTATTTTAATCTTGTTTGTAAAATTAAAAGTTTTATTATAAATGTATTCGATAATTTTTTAATATTTATACTATTATTAAATTTTTTATTTTTTGAGAATTAAAAATAATTTTATTAATAAGGGGAATACAAGATTATTACTTTTTTTTTTGATATGTTACAAGTTAATCCAACATCAACTCCATTAAAAATTTTACTTAAAAGTTAAAATTATGTTTCCAATAATAAAATAAAAGTTAAGATTTTATGTCTGTTTTCTTGTCAGATTAATTAGCTAGCTTTAGAAACATTTATTTTATAAGTGTGACGAACATAATCCTTGACAATATTTTTAATAAATATTCATTCTCTATCAAATTGTTAGTATATTTTATTTTTTCGGAGTTAAAAGAAAGTTGATTTTAATATATTTAATATTAAAATTTAAATTTTTTATAAATTTGATGTTTCATAGTTTTATTGACAAAAAAAAATATGAACAATAATTTTGGAATATAAAAAAAGTGACTTGAGTGTTGAAAACAAGAGGACATAATTTTTAAAAATTGAAAAAAAATGAAAAAAAGACAAATATATATATATATATATATATATAAATAAGAGTAGAGACTGAAACATGAATTTAAAAAATTTACTTGAAATTTTCCCTATCGTTCCACTATCAAAATTATAAAACCACGTTTTAATTAAGAGAATCTTTTGAAAGATCTTTGCCATCTGTGGCCTTAACGTACTGTCAAATTAATTTGACCCGTCGGGTGGCTATAAGAAAATAAATGCACACTAATAATGACAACGGATCCAACCCCATTGGTTTCACTATAAATTCCATGCAAAATTGTCTTCGTCTTCATAAAAAACTGTACGCAGTGCACCAAATTACTCGACCTATGGCTTCCACTGTCCTTCCCTCGTCAACCCTAACAACTGTTCCCAACTCCTCCATTCAAACTTCATTCTTTCCAAAAACATCTCAACTTTCCATATTTAAGAAGAAAAAGCCTTACTATTTCGTCCCTAATAAAGTAGTGTCATGCAAAACCACGAATGGGAACCAAAACCAGCCTACTCCTAGTTCCGAAAACAATGGAGACACTTCTCTCAACAGGTTTGATAGAAGGGATGTCCTTATTGGCCTAGGAGGTCTCTACGGTGCAACCAGCCTTGCCAATGACCCATTTGCATTAGCAGCACCAATATCCGCCCCTGACCTGACCCTTTGTGGCGATGCAACTATTACAGGGACGGAGACTGTCTATTGCTGCCCACCGTCAAATGCAAAGATCATAGATTTCAAACCACCTCAGTTTTCCAAGATACGCTATAGGCCTGCCGCACATTTAGTTGATCCTGACTACTTAGCTAAATTTACCAAGGCCATGGAGCTTATGAAAGCTCTTCCTGACGATGATCCACGTAGTTTCAAGCAACAAGCTAATGTTCATTGTGCTTACTGTAATGGGGCTTATGATCAAGTCGGGTTTCCTGATCTTGATCTTCAAGTTCATTTCTCATGGCTCTTCTTCCCATTCCATAGATTATATCTTTATTTCTATGAAAGGATTTTGGGCAAGTTGATTGGTGATCCAGAATTTGCCATGCCATTTTGGAATTGGGATGCTCCTCTGGGCATGCCTATACCTGCCATATATGTTAACCCTATCTCTCCACTCTACGATGAAAAGCGCAATGTGAACCACCAGCCACCAGTATTGGTTGATCTTGATTACAATGGCACTGAGGAAGAATCAACAAAGAGAGATCAAATAAAAAGTAATCTCAAAGTTATGTACAGGCAGATGGTGTCGAACAAGACCCCTACTCTTTTCCATGGAGCGGCCTACCGTGCTGGTGATAATCCCAGTCCTGGAATGGGTGCCATTGAGAACATTCCTCATACCCCGATTCATAGATGGTGTGGAGACAAAAGACAACCACATTCAGAAGACATGGGGAATTTCTATTCTGCAGGCAGAGATCCATTGTTCTACGCTCATCATTGCAATGTAGATCGAATGTGGTCGATTTGGAAGGCATTACCAGGAAAGAAGAGAAATGATTTCACAGACCCAGACTGGCTTGATGCCTCGTTTATTTTCTACGATGAGAATGCAAATCTTGTTCGTGCTAAGGTTCGTGATTGCCTTGACACCCTAACTCTGGGCTACGATTATCAAAGAGTTGAGATTCCATGGCTTAGACAAAAGCCAAGTCCTCGAAAGTTTGCCAAGAAAGGTGGAAGGCATGGTCAAGCAATGGCAGCCGAAGCAAAGAATAAAAACGTTATACGCAATGTATTCCCTATAGTTTTGGACAACACAGTGAGCATTGAAATTCCAAGGCCAAAGAAATCAAGGAGTAAACTTGAAAAAGAAGATGAAGAAGAGGTATTGGTGCTAGAAAACATTCAGTTAGAGAGAGATGTAGCAGTGAAATTTGATGTGTATATTAACGATGTGGATGATGGGACACCAACTGGACCAGAAGATTCAGAGTTTGCAGGGAGCTTCACGAATCTGCCGCATCGCCATAAACAGGGGAAGAAGATGGCGACAAACTTAACTTTGCCACTATCGGATTTGTTGGAGGATTTGGATGTTGAAGGTGATGATAATATTGTGGTGACTTTGGTGCCTAAAGAAGGGAAGGGTCTTGTCACGGTTGGTAATATCAAGATCGGCTATGTCCGAGAATGATCAGTTACTTTGTTGCTCTAGCATCTTCCGTTCCTTCCCTAGCTACTTTGTGGAAACATCTTCCTTGATCCTTGTGTTCTGGGACCGATGGGTCGAGTGACATGTTCGTTATCAATGTGTGTCCAATATAAATAAGGCCATTAAGTCTATGACCATAGAACCTTTATATGTATGGCCATTCTTAATATAAGGAAACCTATTTATGTTTATGTTTTACGTTCGGGTCTCTTGTCATGCTTCTATGTTTTTCGAGTTCAACATTGAATAAAAAACTCTTAATTTAATTAATTAGCTTACTCATTTTTTGTTTACTACTTGTTTTTATAAATTAAGAGAAAAATTAATGTTAACTAGTTGGATACCTGTATTACTATGGATTAAAATTTTTTGTTTTGTCCTCTATATTCATTGATTTTTTTTTAATTTATTGAATTAACAAATAAGCAAGACAAAAAGTAAAAAAAAAAAAGAAAGTGGCATGTGAATACTTAAATTGACATCTTATTTTCACAAAATATATTTAATAAATATCTAAAACAAAAAAGAAATCATAAAAGTAAAAAAGAATAAAATTGAAAAAAAATAGAAAAATAAAAAATTTGAACTCATAAAGGGTGTCATGTTCTCATCCCATTGAGTTTAAAATATTAAATTTTTAAATAAAAAATCAAATAATAATTTTATTAATATAATAAATATAAATATAAAATTAAATTAATAAAAAAATATATTTTTATATATACCTCGAAATGAATCGAACAAAACACCTTAAACGCATTTTCACACCAGCCTCGTAACTTATAAAAAAACTTGATTAATCCCAACTATATCCTGATTTTAAAAAAAAATCACTTCATATTGGATCGAAATAGATTGAAACTCAACAAATATGAATTACTTTGATATTTCCATCAATCAATATATTTTGTTGTAAAATTTATCTAATTAAAAATACATAAATAAACGAAAGAGAAAAAAAAATTCAAATAGGGTACCACATGGACATCTCAATTGACCTATTTTTTAACATAATTAATTTAATAAAAAAAGCATAAAAAGTTTAAGGAAAATTAAAAAAAAACAAAAAATAGTTCATTATAGTATTATATAGATAACCCAATTGAGTTTAAAATATTATTTTTTAAATTGAGATAATAAATGATAATTTTATTAATTAGAAAAAGAAAAAGTAAGCAAAATAAGCAAAAAAAAAAAAAAGGAAAAGGGAAATCATTGAGGTGCCATGTTGACATTCAAATTGAGTTTAAAATGTTAATATATTAAATTAAGATATAAAATAATAATTTTATTAATATAATACATATATATAAATATAAAATTAAATAGATAACAAAATATATATTTATATATATATCATGAGATGACTTGAGGTAGAACACCCTAAATTTGCTTTCGATTTGTTCTTACTTTTTATAAAAAATTGATCCGACCTAACTTGATATTGATTTTTTATAAAAAACACTTATATCAAATTAAGACGAATAGATATCTATCGGATATTGGTGGTTTTGTTATCCTTATCGACTAACTCATTTTATTGTAGAATTGAACTAACAAAAAAATATAAAAAAAGAAAGAAATAAACAAATGAGATGCTACGTGGATACCTTTATTGATATTATTTTCATATAAAATTTATCTAATAAAAAAATGAAAAAAGCAAAAACAAAAAAATTCTCTCTATATCGAATCGAGTTGGATTAAAACCTATCGAATACGATTTGTTTTGCTATCTTTATTCATCAACTCATTTTGTTGCAAAATTTATATAATTAAAAGGAAAGAAAGAAAAAAGTGAATTGGGCTTCCACTTGGGTGTTTTAAAAATTTTATCTAAATTAAAAAATTAAAAAAACAAACAAAAGTTAAAAAAATGAAAAGAAATGTTACGCCAACACTTTAAATTTAGGTCAAATAAAGTAAAAATTAGTAAAATTTATATAATAAATGGATGGATGGATTAAATCTTAATTATGTATAAATATAAAATAAAATAAATAATTAAAAATATTATTTTATATATACTTGGGGCAAGATAGAAGATCCTAAATGAAAAACTTCAATTTGATATCTAATTTTTCTAAAAACGAACACATATTGGATCATGTGAGGTATAAATTATTTTATCGTCCCTATATCAATTGAAAATTTTATATTATGAATTTAGAAAAAACAAAAACTAAAAATAAAGTCCAAAAAAAAAATTTTAAATCCGAATATGACGTCAAGACATCCTTTAATAGTCTTTTCTTTAAAATTATCAAATTAAAAAACAAAAAGATTAAAAATATTTTTAATATAATATCAAATGGGCTCATATTAAAAAATTTTAAACTATTTGTTAAATATTAAAAAGAAAAAGTAAATAGAAAAATAAAAAATTGAAAAAAAAAATCAAATGAGTTGACACAAGGCATACCCTTAATATAAAGTGGATTTGAAAAAATTGAAATCTAAAAAATTATTTATTAAATATGTAAAAAAAAAAATAATAATTAAAAAAACATGTGGCATATCTTTGACAATAAATTTCACAAAAAATTTAAAATTTTAAAAATATTTATTAAATATTAAAAGAGTAAAAAAAAGGAACTTTTGATATGAAAGGGTCCCACATACTAAAAAAATAAAATTCTTGTAATTAAAAAATCTTTAAATAACATATTTTTTATAATTTAAAAACATATTTGTGAAATATAATAAAAAAGAAAAAAAAGCAAAAAAGAAAAAGTAAAAGCAAACAAATGACACATGAACATCTATCGGTAGTTTACGTGTAAGATGTAAAATTTACAAAAGACAAAAAAAGTTAAAATGCCACAGATCACATATAGTAAAATTTACAAAATTTATAATGGAGATAGAAATAGTAGAAAAAATTTAAAAGTGAGGTCTCCAACGGTAACAATGTTTTTCCATCTTCTTATCCCCCTTCCGTTATATTTTTTCATCGAATTTCCGTCGCATCACATCTATTATTTATCTTTTCTCACATTTTAAGTGTAAAACTCAAAAAAAAAAAGGAAACAAAAAAGCATGCCACGTGGTGATTAATAAGAAGTCAAATATTGGTGTTGAAATGAGTATCATTTATTGTAAGAGACACAAAAATACTCCTCCGTTGTTGCGGGTCAAATATTTTTATTTTATTGTTTTTATTTATTGTATTTTTTAAATTTTATTTAATTAAAAAATTAAAATAAATACAGACAAATGATAAAATAATAAAAATGAAACATGTATATCTTAATTGGATTCCTATTTTAATAAAATTTATTCAATAAAAAATAAAAAAACTAAAAAGTTAAAAAGAGAAAAATGAAAAAAGATACTCACAAAAGGTGCCATATATCTCATGTTGAGTTTAAAATATTAAATTTTTAAATTAAGATAAAAATAATTTTATTAATATAATATATTTATATATATAAAATTAAATAAATAATAAATTATATACATTTATATTGAAATGAATCAAAATAAAGCACCATAAATATACTTCTAACCCGTGTTGGTTTCTCTTTAAAAAATTTGATCCGTCTTAAATTAATCTTGTTTTAAAAAATTACCCTGTAAAAAATTTATCAGATGTAGATTGTTTTGGTCCCGTATTAATAGATATTTTTTGTTGCGAAATACAAAAAAAAAAAGAGAAAAAAGGCCAAATGACGTGCCATGCTGACACATCAATTGGATTTTTTTTTATAAAATTAATTTATAAAAAAAATAAAAAAATGAAAAAAATAAAAACAAAAGGAAAAAAAGCTTATTGAGGTATTATATGAATATCCCAATTAAATGAGAACTCATCAAATATGAATTGTTTTGTTATTTCTATCTATTAGCTCTTTTTTGTTGCAAAATTTATTTAATTAAAAACAAAAGGAAAAAAAATAAATTGTGGTATCATATGGATACCTACGTAGGTTTTTTTCACAAATTTTATCTAAATTAAAAAACTTAAAAAAGCTAAAAAAAAAAAAGGTAGTACGTCAAAATCTTAAATGGAGGTCGAATAAAAGTTAAAATGAAATAAATTTACATAATTAAAGGGTAGATTACATCTTAATTACATATAATCTTAAGATAAGAGAGAACGTAATAAACTTGCATTGGACTTAATCTTAATTTTTGAAAAAAAAATCTCAATTCAATCTCAAATAAAAAAAATATCTATTGAATTTAGATGAATCAAAACCCATTCACACCTCAATTGATATTTTTCTGAAAAAATTACTTATCAATTTCTTTTGTTGTAAATTATTTTATTAAAAAATAAAAAAATATCTCAAAGGCAAAAAAAGCAAAATTGAGTACCGCGTGTAAAATTTTTCAATAAAACTATCTAATTAAAAAAAAAGGAAGAAAAAAATTAAAAATTATAAAGAAAAGATGAAAAAGCAAAAAAATGAGGAAAATTGAGTTGCCACATAACATTAGTAATAATGAATTTTTCCTAATATATTTTTTTAAATTATTAAGCTACAAAAGAAAAAAACAAAAATATTTTTTTAAATCAATAATATCAAATGGCACATAAAAATTTTAAAATATTAAAAAAAATTATAAATAGTTAAAAACTTAAAAAGAAAAAGCAAATAAAAAATGAAGAAAAATAACTTGGCACATGGCATATTTTTGGTATTAGGTTGACGAGATAAATAAGAATTTAAAATCTAAAAAACTATTTATTAAATATATAAAAAGGAAACAATAAGGAAAAAAAAAAAAGCAAATTCGTGGCACACTCTTAATATTAAGTGGATCCCAAAAAACATTAAAATTTTGAAAAGAGTAAAAGATAAAAAGATAAAAAAAACAAAAAAAAAGTTTGGTATAAAGTGGCACCCACCTGTAAAAATATAAGTCTTTTAAAAATTTTATTAAATATAAAAAATTTTGACAAAAAGTAAAAAGAAAGCATAACGTTACACCTTTATTGTTGAATACTGTAAACAGGACATTACCGAAATTAATGTTATTAATGACATGCTCGATGTTGTGGGTGTATTTTGTTCAACCCCAAGTTTTTTACGAGAGTGATATTAAAATTATTGATAAATTTAGATACTGTGGAGTTATGTGAATGTACTAAATAAAGGTTGTTATGTATTAATTATATATTAACATAGTTAACATAACAAAAAATACCTTTAATTTTGAG